TGTGCTGGGGGCCAGGGGCATGATCATTGGCTTTGTGTACTGTGGCCTCAGATGCTGGTAGCTTGCTCACTCTGCTGGGGGTGGCCAAGCCAAGTTATACCAGTTGCTGCCTGATTGCTGGGCTGTCAACTTGCCTTCTACACTGGGGCTAGAGACCTCACAGCTGGCCTGCTGAGCCAGAACCAAGGGGCCTCAGCTGCTGATATATGCTATGGCTAAGAGACTCCTGCTGGCTTGCCTAGACACTGTCTGCCCTGGGCTGCACTCCCCTTTCACCCAAGTGAGACAGACCTTTCCTGAAGTCCTTCTAAGTTATCTTAAGCTGGAAAATTGTCTTACTCAATCTTTTTATAGGTTTTATCACTCCAGAATCCATTTAGAGGCTTGATTTAAAGTTGTTTCTGAGGGAAACTAGGGAGACCTCAGGCAACTTTCTGGCTTCTCTCTGCCATTCTGGCTCCACTCATCCATTCCATTTTTTTTAAACCTCTAATTATTAAGATGTTCTTCCTCACATTAAACTACTACTTGCCTTTCTATGACTTTCATCCGTTAGTTAATCCTGTTCTTTGGAATAGAGGATTCTAAAGCTAATCTTCCCACACAACAAAATCCTTCAGATGTTTCAAGGTAATGTTCAAGTCATGATTAACGTTCCTCTTTTCCTGGCAAAACATATTTAGTTCCTTGAAACAACTTCCATATAATATGGTTTAAAATATCTTCACTATCTTGGGTCTCCCTTCTCTGGATATACTCAAGCTTCTTACTGTTCTTTCTTTTCTTTTCTTAGGCAATTGGGGTTAAGTGACTTGCCTAGGGTCACACAGCTTGAAAGTGTCAAGTAATTGGTCTGAGGCTGGATTTGAACTCAGGTCCTCCTGACTTCAGGGCCGGTGCTCTATCTACTGCGCCACCTAGCTGCCCCCTTACTGTTCTTTCTAAACTGTGGTTTCCAGAACCAGACAATGATCCAGAGGTCTGAATAGTATCTTCTTTAAAATTTTTTTTGGGGGGAGGGCCAGAGGGGTCAGCCTATATTATGGACCTTATGTGTCACAATGGTAAGAAAAAGTGCTTTCAGGTGCAACTAGGTGGTGCAGTGGATAGAGCTCCAGTCTTGGAGTCAGGAGGACCCAAGTTCAAATCTGACCTCACACACTTGATACTTTCTAGCTGTGTGACCCTGGAAAAGTCACTTAACTCCAACTGCCTCACCAAAAAGCAAAAAAAAAAAAAAAAAAAGTGCTTTCCAAAAAACCCAGGCTTCCTGACTAGCATTGGCTAGTGATTGCACTAGGGAAAGAAAGGGAAAGCAGTAGTGGAAACTGCCACTGAGAAAAGAAGGGAAGATAAAGTAAAATTAGCAAAACATAAAGGAAGGAATGACAGGAGAGCCCAACCTGACTTTAAGGTCCTACTGCTCCACACAGGTGCAGGCTGAATAGAATCAAAGACTCCTAGTGTCACTGGAGTGATAAGTAACAAAATTTATAATATTTATAGACAAGCTGGCATGAATACCTATTATATAGCTATGTTAAGGATCCATGATTTTGTAGCTGGAATGCCCTAGGGTGGACCTCACTCTCTTATAATTTAGTTGAGAAGTCCAGTTCCTTGAAGCTTTAAAAGGTGAACTTGCCCAAAGTCACCCAGCTGGTAACCTTCAGAAGCAGGACCTTAGCATGGATCTTCTGGACTACAAGTCCAATCAGATACTAGCCAACAGATCATGACACCTCTCAATCTATGAGTCATTAGAAAAGGTTCATGATCATTAAAATATGTGGTCAATGAGATGATAAAGGTGGAATATGAGCACATATCCTATCACAGGACATGAGAACTGGGAAAGACTTCACTTCATGTGATGTCTGTGGGAAATGAGAGAGGGACTTAGGGCACTTACCTAATGTGGAACAGACTAGGGAACTAAGATGCAGAAGCAATCCAACATGGCAGTTCAGTGCTTAGTGAACCTAACACTCCCCATCTGATGAGAAATACTACAAGAACTGAAAGCAATCTGGCAGAAACAATTTTATATCAGTATCTTAAACTAGGCACTGGTTTAAATTAATAGAAGCCACTTAATAAATACTTGCTGATAAACTGATATACCAACAAGTTCCCAACTGGAAACACAACAGAAAACTAAAAGGTCATATTATAAAACAAACACAATGACAAAAACTAGAGAATGGAAGGAGGTGATTTTAAGATTGAGAATTTTTAACCAAACAAGGAATTAAAATGATCAAAAAATATAAAATACAATTTCAATCACATAAAATTTTCCACAAATAAAATCAATGTAGCTTTTCTAAGAAGAAAAATTACTGAGTAAGGAAAAAAAAACTTTCCATGAAAAAGTCAAATATCCAGGATAAATAAGGAACTCATGTAAGTATCTAAGAGCAAGAACCATTCCCTAAGAGATAAAAGGTTAAAAGATACAAAGTTTTCAAAAGAATTATAAACAATCATATGAAAAATTACATCAAATCAATAATAAGAAATACTCAAATGGAGACAACTCTAAGGTTTTATGTCCCACTCTTCAAAAAGGCAAAGATAATAAAAAATTGATAAAGTCAACTTTGCAAGGGCTGTGGAAGGCTGGCACATTCATATACTACTGGAAGAATTATGAATTGGTTCAACTGTTCTGGAAAGTAATTTGGAATTACGTGAGAAAAATTACTGCTTGTATTTGTTGACTTGTAGCCATTCCACTACTGTGAATATATGCAAGGAAGGCAAAGATAGAGAGATTCCATATATACCAAAATATTAATGTCAAAAAGTTTTGTAATAGTAAAAGACTTGAAGAAAAGTGATATGCCTATATCTTGAAAAATAACTAAAGAAACTGTGGTATATGAATGTAATGAAGTATTACTGTGTTATAACAAATTATGAATAAATAAATTCAGAGACACATCCTAAGACCTGTGTCAACAAATGCAGAGCACAATAAGCAGAACTAAGAGAAAATATACAGTGACTACAATAATGTAAATGAAAATAACCCTGCAACTGTATCTTATTTAATTGAAAGAAGAGAGCTAATAATAAAATACACCTTTCTTCTTTCAGTACAGAGTTGGGAGACTATGGATATGGAATCTGGTATATGCTGTCATCTATCATTATTCTTGTTGTTTGGTTCTGCTTAACTGTTTTTCTTTTTTATGAGGAAGGGTTCAGTGAGGCTGTTTCAAGAGGAAAGGACTGTTGTATAAAAACGAAAAATATTAACAAAAACTTTACCTTACCAAAATGATTACCAAAAAATAGTAACTTGCCTAAAATCACACAGATAGTGACTGATACTGAATTTGAAGTCAAGTCTTCTGACTCCAAAACCAATGGTCTTTCTGTATATGTATATGTATATGTATATGTATATGTATATGTATGTATATGTATATGTGTGTGTGTGTGTGTATATATGTACACACACACACACACACATGTTCACAATCAGTTATTATATAGAATGTGAAGAGAATGATTGCAAAAACCTGGGGACACAAAGGAGAAGGCTCCATTGGCCTAATTCTCTCCCTGTGGAAGATGATAAACAAAGAATAAACTTGAGCTAAGAACCATCAGTTTACAAGCTATGCATTCCAGGAATATCTATGCAGTGATAACAAGGTTACTCCCGAAAAGAAACAGAGGTTCTATCCATCATAGTGAGGGCAGCATGACTGTATAAAGGCTGCCACCAGGGTGTCACAACTGCCAAGGGATTTATCCTGGAAGCGTTATATGCCTACTGACAAGAGATATGATCCCCTGTGAACCTCCAATAGCACTTACTCACATGGATCAAGACAGCTGAACACTATGTGCCCCTGTCCAGTCCTTTCATCAGTCACAAGTTCTGTTATACAACACAGTAATTTAGTGGATACATAGGAGTCTAAGTTGAACTTAATTCATAATCCCACATATTGAAATCTCACTAATTTACACTACCAGGGAGGAGACCAATTGAAATAATAAACATTTTAAAGAAATGCAATTTTATTACTATAAAAGATATTTAGTACCTCAAACTTGGCTAAAAAAAAGTATCCTTGAGAACCTCAGGGGTATGCTTTAACAAACAAATAAAACCAATGCATAATAAGTATGATAGCTGTTCATACAGGAGAGAGCAGTTGCTTTACTTTGACAAGTTTAAGAGATCTGAGAAATCAACTTAGTCCAATGCCTTTCATTTTACAACTGAGAAAATTAAAGCCAAGTAACATCAAGTCATATGATGTAGCTCACAGATCAAATTAGTCACAGAACTGGAACTAGAACCCAAGTCATCTAAATTTCAGCTTAGTTTTCAATCTATTATGAAGCTATCTCAGTAATTCTAGGGCACTGGTGTCAAACTCAAACACAAGCTGATTCCTGCTGGTCACATACTGACTTCGAAAACCCCAAATTAACATTATCTTTGCTGTATTGTACTTTTATTTATTTTGTGAAACATTTCCCAATTACATTTCAATCTGGTTTTGGCTGCACTCAGAAGTGTTGAGGGAAGGCCAAGAGTTTGACATCTTTGTTCTAGAATGTATGAGGGTATCTAATAAAAGTTGGCACTTTTAAGTTTTAAATATATTGATGCAATCATAAGTTCTTAAAAACATTAATTTTTATTTATATTAATTTAAAGCAAAAATAAACTTTGGCCCAGACTTCTCTATGTTATCATAAATTACAAACCAATAATTTTAAAGGCATTTTGCTTCAATAATATTTTAAAATCTATGACATTTTAACAAATAAAAAGAGGATTCAAATTTTTTAAATGTTTAAACCTACCTCTTTAGGAAAATTTAGAATTTATAGAATGGTAATGAAGTTATACATCTGAGAAGGCTTTTTAACCTTCTTGCTTCATCAAGATTATGCTTATAAAACTTTTTTCATTAAAAGATTCATTTTACAAAACTATCCCATAAATAATTCTTTTAAAAACACACTACCTGAATGTAATAAATGCCTTTTTCCTGAGCATACATCATAAGAAAACAATAATCCAAGTTTTGCTTTGTCCTCCACCTGAAATAAAAAAGTCATCAAAAACATGAATTAGAAATTAAACATGGAATTTAATTAAATATTTATGTTCCACTCCATCAGTGGAAAACAGCCTACTTGATCAGGTTCAAGTTAAATTCACAATCAGCTCTCAAATTGTGAGTGGGTTAAGATGGATTTGGTGATATTTCTGACTTGTTTTTATAAACTTTTTGAAAAATTTCAAAGAATAAATTTAGTATTCCTCTTTTTCATAACTGGTTAGTCAGTGGAGGGAAACTGTGAGTGGGTGAGAGCTGTATAGATTCTAATACCCCTTGGGAAAGTGCACTTATTTTGCTTAAATGATTCAATAATTTTCTTCTTCTTTTATGTACTTAGGAGGGGAGAGTCAGAGAATAGGCATTAAACAAGTTAGAAAATTTTATCCTACAACAAGCAGCCTGCCAAAATAAAGTACACAGACCTGTGAAAGACTAAGAACATCATGGTAAATTTTGGCTTGGAAAGAGATTACCTGAACAACAACAACAACAATAATAAAAAATCTAATGAGGTTGGGAAAAAGTTGAAATTGTGTGGTATTTAAACAAAACAAAACAAAAAACACATAAAATACCCCAACAGACTGAATCAGAGTCAAGTATAAAACAAGCCTCTGTATATATGTCTAAACTTTTTTCTTGTGGAAATGTTTGTCAATGAGAGACATTGACATTATTACATCACTTTGTACTGTTTCAACTATCTTCTAGAAAGACAAAACTGTTATCCTAAACATATCCTATCCTATACTGAGAATCCTATGGATTTGGGAACTGTACATTTAGACAAACCTGATTTCATTGGGGTGAATACTCCTTCTACCAGTGCCAATTACACCTCTGTGATTTTTCATTGTGTGCAATTCTTATCCATAGCTTTCTGTAAATCCTTTATAGGAAATCTATAATATTCTTTCCACTGATACAAGTCACACATGTTCTTTCAAACCTTTCTGTACTTCTTGTCTAGTTATTTCCACAAATTATCTGGAGAGGTCCTACACAATGAGGTAGAGGCCTCCCTCCCATTCTTGTAATTGGTAACCTGGAGGGCACCAATGTATCACCCCAGATGTTTTTCTCTCATCCCTCATGTTTGGTACATGATTGGCCCACTTACTTTTCTCCTAATATTTTTTACACCACTTAGGAGAACAATTTCTCATTAATAACATACTGAAACCTTGTTACATCTACAATATGTTTTTCACTGCCCTTTAAATCACATACACTCATGAATTTTCCATGACTGAGTATTCCAAGACTTGCAGCAATAGCTGCGAAGATAGTGGTGCTGAAGGAAGGGATTCTGTGGCAGCACGCATCCTGGGAAGAGTGACAACACTATCCAATTTCCCAAATGCAGTCAAAACTGATCTCTTCCTCCCACTGAATCCTAAGCCCAACTCATCCTTCTCAGTACCTGATGAAAATATACATATCCTAATAGACTAACTCAACATATCTGCTTTTCAGAGTCTGGAAAATAATCCTTTTAAATTCACTTGATTTTCCATAATGGATGGCTAAGTCAATTTATTTTGAATAGTTATTCGAAACAATATTACCTATAAATAGGAATTTATGGGCATTCATACTATTAACATGGAATTCTTTTGTTTGGGATCCACATAGAACATCGACTAAGACATTAAGTACCTTAAATGAATTAAATATTTAGTTATATATAATTTGTATAAATGATTATTAAATAGTATCTCCTTATTTGAGGCCTCATTTGACACTGATATTTGGGGTTACTGAATACCACTGAAGACATATTTGTCAGCTTAATTTAAGTTTAGCATACACTTTGTTTCAAGGGCCTTTTTTATTCTGTACAAGCAAAGCCAAATAAAGGAAAAAAGACAAAGGGAACAAGTCTGATTACATATGTAACATTCCATACTTGTAATCCATCACCTTTCTATTGGGAAGACGCAAGTATGTTTATTCTATCATTGTTCCTTTGGAGCCAACCTGATTTCTGTTCTCTTTCAATGTCATTTTTATTTTCATTTTTGTAGTCACTGAGTAAACTCTTTTCCCAGTTGTTTTCTTTGCTATATATCAATTCATATAAGTCTTCCTATGTTTCAACTCAACTCCTCATACTCATCCTTTCATTATGGCATAGCAATATTCCATTACAGTCATATGCCACAATTTGTTCAGTCATTCCTCAACTGATAAAGTCCACTGTTAGCATTTTCTTTGGTGCTACAAAATGTGTGGTTAGGAATATTTTATGAATATTAATAACAGCACCTATCTCACACAGGTGATATGAGAATTAAATAAAACAAGACAATATACGTAAAGTGCTTTGCAAACCTGAAAGGGCTATTTAAATGTTAGCTATGACTATTTTGGTATAAATGGTATCTTCCTGCCATGATAGGATCAATTGGTTAAAGGGTATGAATAGTTCTTTTCATGTAATTCCAAAATGATTTCTAGGAGATAAGTCACCTCATAGCTCTACAAACAGTACATGTGTATGCCTGACGTCCTACTGCTTCTCTAACACAGACTATTATGTTTTATCAACATAAAACTGTATGTTTCACATAGATACTGTATGTAAAGTGCTTTAGAGATCTTAAAGAGCTATAAAAAGGTCAATTGTTATTATCTGCATCAATGTGATACATACAGTTTGCATTTCTCTTATTATTAGGGATGTGAAGCATTATTTCTTGGCTGCATTTCTTTTTAAAATTTTCTTTATTAACCTTGATCACTTACATATCCATTGGAAGATGTCTCTGAGTCATATAGATTATATCCATTTGCTATGAATCTCTGGTCCCTGACTTTCATTAGTGATGCCAGAGATAAATGAAGGAATATTTTCTCCCAATTAACAGCTTCTCTTCTTATTCTACCTGCACTAATTTTGTTCTTGCCAAAGTTTTAAAAATTATATATAACTGAAATTGTCTATTTTTTTCTTTTATAATCTTTCCTATATCCTTCGGTTATGAACTGTTGCCCTAGTTACCGTTATAAAAGCTACGTTTCTATTTTTTAATGGTACACCCTTCTATAGTTAGGACAAATCCTTTTGGAGCTTTAGTATTTAAGACACAAATCTAAACCCATGTTCTACCAAGCTACCTTCCAGTTTTCCCAGCAATTCTTCTGCAAAGAACAAGCCCTTTCTCTAAAACTTTGCATTCTTGGAGTTATCAGATATTGGGCTACTATAAGTAGTTCATCACCTTCTAGGTCTTCCTTATCTCATCTAGTTTGTTCCACTAATATACTTTTCTATTTTGTAACCAGTACCAAATATGATCACTATTTCATAATACCACATTTTGCTCTACACCATTTTGATTTTTAAAGCATTTGATTCTAAATATAGTTGAATATTAGTATTTTCTCTAGTTCTCAGATACGTTATATAACTAGAAGGATGTGGTTTACTGAAGAAAATCATTTACAAAATCCTACTACCTTCTCATGTTTTCATCAAGGATACTCTTGATACACACCCTGATTATTCTCAAAGATTTTGTAGAGATGAGAAATTTGGCATATCAGTTAATAGTTACTGATGAAGATCTTCTTGGTTGCAGGGGGAGAAGGAGAGCAGGAGGGAAGGTGCAGCAGTATTAAAAGCACCATCTGTGGTTTTCTGGATTTTAATGAAATTTCCCCTTCCAAGATATCTCGAAAATTGATCCTTGAACGCCTTTTCAATTGAGTTACCTCCAATTTTTCACATGGTACATCAGGTACTGAGGTGACAGAGTCCAAATGTGATAGAATTTCACTACTGTTGGTGATGAAAAGAGATTACAGAAGAAATGCCCACAGATCAGTTCTACTTTACATATTTGTTGTACTTCTTTGGGTTTTACTTATAATTTTTTTCAAGATAATCTGATTTAGTTAGATCTCACATTAAGCTAAGCTCTCTCCAGGCACAATTTCTCAACTGCTTTTCATTATTTTGTGAATCAATACTGCCTGCTCAAGCTTCCCTCATCCTTTTCTGGAATGACTTGTAAATAAACCTGTACTCTGTACCAGAGTTATCCCGAGCTGCAGCATGTCTATCGGGCAAAGAGATTAAGCATTTATAAGCTGATGGGACTTCTGGGCTCTATTATTTTCTCACTTTCAGGACTGACTTCTCCCATAAGTAGAACTTAAACAGACAATGGTAATCAACATATTTAACTTTTGTGCAACTTCCATTTTTCTAAGTCTACAACTAGTTTAAAGAGGTCTGATTAGGGCTGCTTTCATTACACTCCACGTCTTCTCATCTTCATCCTTTCTTCAAATTTAGTATTTACTCTGATCCTTGCTTATAAGCTAATAATTTGCCTATACAGCTGATTCCGATATGACTGGAACACTAGTAACCAGTAATTTCCTATCTGTTAAGATACAGTCAATTCCATTTTCTGAAATGCTAATCAATGCTCAAATCCAGGATCTTCACACTCTTTTCTTGAACAGAGTATTCATTATGTACAAGTATGAGATTTCAAAGTCGTCTACATATCTATAAGACTGGTACAAGCTTTGGGGGGGATAAAAGATGATTCAAAATCATGCCCAAAAAATACTCAAATCCAGGATGGGTATGGTTAAGAAAGATAAACGTTTGTTAATATAATCCTTAGGTGATTACTTTATAGAAATTGAAAAAAAAATAAAAATTCAACTAGAAGAACAAAAAGTTAAGAATCTCAATGGAAATAATGAAAAAAGTGGGAAGGAAGTAGAGCGAGCAGCACTGCATCTCAAATTACACCTCAAAACAGTAATCATCAAAATAATTAGGTACTGGTTTAAAAACAGCAAAGTATATCAGTGAAACAGATTAGGTACACAACGTATAGAAGCAAACACACAGAGAAGCCTAGTATTTGACAAACTGAAAGACCTTGGCTACTGTGGTAAGGACTCACTATCTGATAAACTGCTGGGAAAAGTGGACAGCAAGCTGTCAGAAATCAGGGCTAGATCAATACCTTAAACTATATTCAAAGTCTCCTCATATTTCCCTACAATGAAAAGACAAAAATACCCATCAAAATAGCAAATTTTCAAGAAAATTTGGAAATATATTAAAAAGTTTACCTAAGTCAAGTAGCATTTTTACCAATACTCCAATGTGAACACAATAAAATCACTGAGAGGAATTTGGTTGGAGGGACAGATGCAGGGAAACAACAGGACCCAGTTTGAATCTCAGAAGGACTCTCTTATGCATGGGTGAACTTATTTACAAAACGGGCTCTAATATACAGTTAAAGTTCTGCAATAAATGATATGACAACAAAGCAAACTCCAGTGCTTAGTTCAATATGTTGCATATACTAGGCACCAAATAAATGCTAAATGCAATAGGACACATTAATCAAGCAAGTAATTCAAACATTAGAAATATGACTTAATTCTATTTAGTGAATTAACATCTAGAAAAATTGGCCAAGTATCTTAGATAAAGCAAATTACTAATTTAATTTTACAGTTTACTAAATGGTATGTAAACTCCACAAAGTCAAGAACTCTACAGGCTATCTAAATCTTTTATTTCCCATAAGCACCTAGCTGCATTCTACATTCACTAGGTGTTTCATAGGTGTATTGTTTTTATTATTTTCAACTTTTGGAATTATTTGGGATGCTACATATTTTTAAATCATAAATTAAAAGTTAGATAGTAAACTAAGACAAATCTTCAGAATACCCTAAATATTACTTTGTCTTGACGTTTAGAGGCAACAACCACTCTCATTTACTAGCTATCTGATCTTGAGCAAATCATTTAACTTCAGTGAGCCTCAGCTTTCTTATCTGTAAAATGAGAATAATACCTGTAGGACCTACCTCACAGGGTTGTTGTGAGGCTGAAATGAGAGGCTCAAAGTGCTTTGAAACACCTATATAAAGTGCTTGAAACAGTTTATAAATGTTGGTCATTATTATTACTTTTATTCAATATATATGAATATCTCTGCCCCTCCCAACATTACTATAAAAGAATCTATATTCAGGCATTTTATGAACAACAGAAGTCAAGTTATTTTTAAAAATCTTACTTTACTCTTTCTTTTGAGTCTCCAAATGTCTTCTTTAAGTTTGTGAAGTCAGGATAATAAGTTGCAGGAGGGGATATTATTTCCATCAAACCAGAATTGATTTCCGTAGAAAATCTATCATAATAAAGGTCAACTGAGTTATTTAAGTGATTTATTTTTCTTCTTGCCATGCCTACTAAATTTGACAGAAACAAATCATTAATCATTATAATAAATACATTAAATGAATTTGTTCATCTATCTCATTCATCAGAATGACAACAAGCAAAACAGTATTATTTCTCTGATGGAAGAAAAAAAGTGAAGTGAGCTACATTTTAAATGTCCAATTATAGAAACCTTAAGATAACTTTTAATGATAACGTCATGAAAATTGCTTAGGTCAAAGAACAAAGAGTAACAGAATCTTTGCTTGGTCTAGACTTGAGGAACATCATGCCCCACCCCAAGAAAAGCTGATCATGAGGCAGCTAGGTGGCACAGTGGATAGAGCACCAGCCCTGAATTCAGGAGGACCTGAGTTCAAATCCGGCCTCAGACACATAACACTTACTAGCTGTGTGACCCTGGGCATGTCACTTAACCCCATTGCCTAACCAAAAAAAAAAAAAGAAAGAAAGAAAAAAGAAAGAAAAAGAAAAAAAAAAGCTGATCACTTGAAATCTCATCATCACGTTCATGGCTCAGTTTTGGATATTTTACTTCTCAACTCCTTCAGCCTCCCTCCTCTCTACTCCGATTACAGGGCTAGAGGATAGAAAACCAAAATCACCCCAAAGCCCTCCTTTATAAAGGGCTAGGATCTGACATGCTGTTATTGTTGTTCAGTCCATTCAGCCTGACTCTTCATGACCCCATTTGGGGTTTTCTTAGCAAAGATACCAGAATGGTTTGCCATTTCCTTCTACAGCTCATTTTACAGATGAAAAAACTTAGGCAAACAAGGTTAGGTGACTTGCCCAGGGTCACATAGTTAATGAGTGTCTCAGACCAAATTTAAACTCAGGAAGATGAATCTTTCTGACTCCAGGCTTGGTACTATATCCACTGTGCCACTTAGTTGCCAAAAAATACTGGAGTGGTTTGCCATTTCCTTCTCCAGTGCAGTAAGGCAAACAGAGGTCAAATAATTTACCCAGGGTCACACAGTTAGTGTCTGAGGCTGGATCTGAACTAAGGTATTCCAGACTCCAGGCTCTGCATTCTAACCACTGAGCCATCTATTTTCCAGCTAACTTATCCACTTTCCATTAGTAGCTCTGCTTGGTTTGGACTCCATGGAACTTCATACTCCCTGTTCCACCCACTCCCTCCCTGAGTCTCACCTGCTTCCTTCTATGTGTTGTCTTCCTGTATTAGACTGTAAGTTCTTTGAGGGCAAGGGCTGTCTTTTTTATTTGTATTCCCAGCGCTTATTATAGTGCCTGGCATACAGTAGGCTCTTAAGAAATGTTCACTGAATTGAAAATGCATTACTGAATATCAATGTACCTTTATAAAGGCAAATGGACAAAATTTGAAGGCATAAGACATGGGGTTGGGGGGATAGGTGGAATTCTCTAGGTATCATGGCTTTTAGAATTAAAAATTGTTGTTGAAGTTCAATACATAAGGAACCTTAAAATCCCCTACTTGCAGACTATCTTTTGGATATGTGTCCTAGATTGTTCTGCTTCCTAGTAAGTTCAGATAAATGATATGAAGTTTAATATCATGTTTTGAACTTCATCAAGAAAGATACTACATAAAAGATGTGCTATTTTATATTTTCTATGAGTAAAAGGTCAATAGACAATGAGGTGGTAATTTAAATATCTAATTCTTTAATTAGGAATAACTTACTCTTTCTCCAGAATAGCTACAACACTGTGTACATATTCTAGATCCGTCTGAAAAATAAAAAAAAAAAATTTTTTTTAGTCATGTTAATGTTCTTGGACATTTATCACTATATATAATGAGATAAGAGATAACACAGCATAGTGCACAGAGAGCTGGCTGGCCTTAGAATTAGGAAGACTTATCTTCCTTTTCCCCTTCCCCTCATGCCCCTCTCTATTCCTCTCAGATGACTCACAGATCTATTTATCTAACCCCAGTCTATCTTCTGAGCTTCATTAACTCCCACATCACCCTGTGACAATTTAACACCTCCAGCTCAATGTCCCACAGACGTCTCAAATTTAATATATCTGAAATAGAACTCATTAACTTTCTGCCTCCCCGCCTACCACCATGACTCCTCTTCTGAATTTCCCTGTTTCTGTCAAGGGCACTATCCTTCCAGTGTCCAAGATGAATAACCTTACCATTATCCTCAACTCCTAACTGCCCATCACTTCATGTAGCCAATCAGTTACCAAATCTTGCCATTTCTGTATGTGACACTGTCTACCCCTATAGCATCTCTCTCATCTGCTGCCTTCTCACTACTCTCACAGCACCACCTTAACTAATGTCTTTGTCACTTCTCACCTGGACTATTTCAATGATCTCATAATTGGTCTCCTCACCTCAAGGCTGTCCCCACTCCAGACCAAGTCAAACAGAGCTGCAAAGTGATTTTTCTTAAGCACAGAAAGACCCGACCATGTTACTCTGCTCCTGAATGAACTCCAATGGCTCCCTAATAAATTCCTCTCTTTTAAAGCCCTTCACAATGTGGCCCCAAACTTAGCTCTCCACTTTCATTATATATTAGTCCCCTTGTTCACTTGATGGTCCACCCAAATTGATCTTTCTTTTCTTCATACATGATACCTCATCTTCTGTGTCCTTGCCTTTGTACCATCCATCCCCAAGTGTGCAAGGCATGTCCTCCTCACCTCTGCCTCACAAGAACCCTTGAATTTTCCCTGATTCCAACAACCTTTTATTAAATGTTTATTCTGCACATATTTATAAAGGGTATTCTAAAAAAATTTTTGATCAGTTTTAGGCTTTAACAGTTTATTATTAAATATACACATTAAGTTTTAATAGCTGAAAGCTGCACTAAGACTTTTAGGATATACTGTGTAAGTATATACAGAATAATGTTACCTCTCCTGCTCGAACATAAGCTCCTTGAAGAAAGGGATTTTTTGTTTGTATCTTAAGTGTGAAACAAAGTGTCTGGCATATAACAAGCACTTAACAGCTTGCTGATCAACAGATTAATTTATTCTTTAAAGAACAAACCCTGAATAGCGCAGCCCAGAGCTTAGGGTCCAAAAAAAGTTGATCAAGAAAATTAAGTAGTGCCTCTGCCCTTTAAACTATTGTTTAGAAAAAAGAGGGGTAGGGACCAAAGATTTTTCTCATGCCATTCTGTAGACTATGGATACACAAATGGCTTTGAGAAACAACTATGTTTAGTAACTATGGTTTTACCGTATGAGATACCACTTCTGGACACTTCCCTCAACCCACGCAGAGGATCCTCACATCACTCCCTAAATCTCTTAGAATGAGGCATGAATTCAGTATTTTGTTTTACCATCTTTTTTTGACCACATGTATTAGTAACCTGGCTAAAAGTCAAATCCAAAATAAGGCCTCTGGAAATAAATATAAACTTTATAATTAACTATTTTTCCTTTAAATGGATGTAACAGATGCCTTTTTATCTAATAACTAACAAGTAAAGGACTTTGAATAATCAATACTGAGTGAATGTTGATTAAAGGATCTGGAAATTCAAGCCTATAACAATCAATATATATGACCACCAAATATGATATGTTTCAATGAAAGACAAGACAAAAAAAGGGAGGAGGAATCCCTAAAACTTTCAATTTAATCTCAAAACTCTGATTCATCTGTTTTTGTGCTACCATTTCCTAACATACATAAAACAAAACCAAATTCCATATTATTCTGCACCCTGATACTTAAGTAGGATAATTAATATTCAAGAAAAGGGGGGGGGAAGATAAATGCTCATCATTCAATATATGAAATGCTTCCAGCAGACAGTGAAGTACAACAACTTAAAAGTAGCTGGTATCCTGTTTCATGTACTACATACACCAATATTTTGTTGTGTTCCAGGAGGCAGTCACCAAAAATATTATACCAATATACTGACTTTTTGAAATTAATAATTCCTTGGGAGCAAATCAATCAATAAATTATTAAGGGCATACTACATACCAGGCACTGATAGTCCAACTCAAATGCTATCTCCTTCATGAAGCCAATTTTTATCAGACCTTTCAGCAATAATCTTCCCTTCAGGTCACACATATTTGCCTTGCACATAGCAAGTGCCTTTGGACTGGACTGGATTTTGTTTTCTACGTCTCTAATTCACTTATCAAAGAATATTGTATATTACAGTTATTTTTTGGTGTTGAATTCCCCTTATTAAATGCTAAGCACTATAAAGGAAGGGACTGGTTGTTAAACTATATTTTCCCCTAGTGCCTAGCATCATGATCTGCATATACTTTATAAATGTTTGCTAGACGAATGGAAATGAGGGTAAAACATGCCAGAACCATTGTGAAGGTACAATCAGCATAATTTGATGATTAATTAGATATAGGAGGAGGGAGGAGAGAATCAAAGATGACTCTCTGATTTGGAGAAAGAGTCATTCCAGCCACAAACAGAGAAATCAAAATGAATAATTAGCCTAACAGTCCAGGTTATATTTAAGGCATGAGAAAAGAAGCAACGGCAGGAAAAATCCTGGTAGTGATGGGGGTTTGGAAACAAAGAGAATGTAGAGATATTTGGAGAGAGACTTAGGAGTCAAGTGCATAACGATCATAGTTCAAGCCATGGTAAAAGATGACCTCAACAATAAGAAAGTGCTAACAGACAAATAATAAGTAAATAAATGTCAACGGTCTCTTGAAAAAAGCAACTTTTGGGAGTGCTAGGTGGGGAAGTGGATAGAGCACCAGCCCTGGAGTCAGGATGACTTGAGTTCAAATCTGGCCTGAGATACTTACTAGCTGTGTGACCCTGGGCAAGTCACTTAACCCCAACTGACTCCCCCCCCCGACAACTTTTAGGGTATCTCTTAGGTCCAATACAACCCAATAGCCTATACATTTCACACCAGTAATATTGTACAATGATAATGTTTGTAATGTTGGATAATGATATGTGTAATGTTGACCCTCCAGTCAATATAAGATACTAAAATAATTTTGGAATCATCAAAATAAACTAGGCTTAATAAAATTTCAGTGTTAAGGATATTTTCTGTTATCCAAATTCTTAAATTTGGGCAACTCATATGGATATATATACATGTATATATGATATATGTACACACACCCATACACACCATAAAAGGAAATATCTTTGGGATTTTAATACCTAAATTAATATCCTGATTCTGATATTTGCCAGTTGTATGACTCTAGATAAGACATTTAACTTTATCTAGGTTGCCTCTTCTGTGTAAATGGGGATAACACTTGTCATAACCTACCTCACAGGTCTACTGTGAGGAAGTGCTTTGTAAACCTTAAAGCTTTATATAAATGAAATTTTTAGAATATTCAAGTGATCAAAACACTCCCTTCCCTAAAATATTCTGGATAAATGGAAGCTCAATTTTTTTGCTGCCTTACTGACTTTACACAGTGCAAAAGTGATGGCCCTAAAGCAGAGGTCTGACTAAGTGATTCCCACATTCAAACTCCAGCGGCTTCTTATTGCTTCTAGGTTCAAACATGTATTTCTCTGTTTGACTTATAGAGTCCTTCATCACCTGCTTCCAGCCAAACTAGGTTACTTGCAATCCATCACATATGGCATTACATCTCCCTACTCTGTGCCTCTGAATAAGTTACCCCACTCGCCACCCAAGCAGGCAGTGCCCTCTCTTCTCACCTCTACTTCTTAGAAGCCTTCTTCAAAGCTCAATTCAAGCAACAAGACTGTTCTTAATTTCCCCCACTCCTAGTATGTCGCCTCCACTCCTAAAGTTGCCTTGTATTTACTGTATACGTATTTTGTATTTACATACATATTTTGTGTATCAGCTCCTCTTAATATCACAAACACCTTCAGAGCAGGGACTATTTTCTTTTTTTTTTCTATATGCCCAGTGCCTAGCACAGTGCCTGGAACACAGCAGATATTTAATAAATACTTGTTGCTCAATTTACTTACTGTCTGAATAAAAAGCTTATTTACTTACTGCCTGGATAAAAAGCTTTCAGCATAACATAGGACTTACTTAAGAACTAATTTTGCAAGTAGCAGACCATAGTAATACTAATTAAACTTAATTCCTGCCCTTGTTATTTTAATCAATAGATTATACAGTCCAAAATGTCAAGAAAAGAGATCTTTGTAGAAAAATTACTTCATGCTAGAAAGGAAACTGCCCCAAAGTCAACTAATTGTTTGGGAATAGTTCACTGAAAAGCAAAATAAGATCCTATCACTTCTGAATATATAGATTTTGTTTACATTTGATTATATTTTGTGGCAAAGGTGTTATTTATGCTATACACTGACCAGTAAAGAAAAGAAGTATAATGACTTGTGTTGGAAACATCAGGAATATACATTACATGAATGAGCATAGCACATTTTTTCAGAATTATTCCACTGGGATAACAGTTTAGACAATCTATTTTTTTTAATGTGCTGGTTGTTCCTCAATTTTCTTTATAAAAAGAAAAATTTCAATTGCCAAAAACAGTATGCTCATCATAAAAAATTAATGGCCTAACACCTCCCAAATGATTGCCTTCTATAATAAATCACAGGAAGTTAATTGAGTGTTTTAAGAAATAAAACCAGAAAGTTTGAGGTCAGTTTCTATGCAAGAAAAACAAATATTGCAAAAGAACTTTCTAGCATCAGACAAAAACAGAATGTAAAATAAATCTTGTATAATTTTAATTTAGCATCTTGATTGATGACAGCAGTGGAAACGTGCTAGTAATGTGTATATTTAATCAACTCTTTCTACATATGAATTTCTATTCAATCTCCAACAAAAACAGGAAGTATTAGCATGGTTAATACAAGGTCAGATGATTAAAAGAAGCTTTCCTGCTTTCCTCATAACCATAATGACATCTAAATCCTAGTAAAAAAGAAACAAAGAAAAAAAAGATCAATGAGCAATAAAATGGAATCAGGGCAACTGGGCACCATACATTGGATAAAGCTCCGGGCCTAGAGTCGGGAAGACCTGAGTTGAAATCTGCTTTCAGACACTAGTTACATGATCCTGAGCAAATCACTCAACTGGTTTGTCTTAATTCACTGGAGAAGGAAATGGCAAACCACTCCAGTATCTTGCCAAGAAAACCCCATGAACAGTATAGTCCACTGGGTCATGAAGAATCAGATACAACCAAATGACTAAACAACAACAACAACAACAACAAATAAAATGGCAGTCACCAAAAAGGTGTCTGAATAATAAAGCTGGTAGTCCCCCCTGACCCCTACAATCTATGTCTGCCTTATAAATCAATGCCTTTTGATTTATCATCTTATACCATTCGGTCAGCTTGAAAAAAAAGGCAAAATAATACTTATCTATTGAAAAGTTAAATAATTTTTTGGATAGAAGCCTGGCTGTGGGTACTTTCAATAATTCTTGTGTTGTAATAACAGTTTCTATAAGTAAGATACCAGGTATTCTGGGTAAGTTCAAAGTCAAAGCAAGTTAACTCTATTTTACTACTAGGGTTTGAAGAAAAAAATTCACTTCACTGTTTCAAACACTTTACGTTTTCTTCCTTTCTATTAACTAGTCCTAACTCTCAACTCATTTTTATTAATGGCAGCACTATTCTTCTAGTCATCCAGGTGTGTAACTTCATTCACATTCAACCAGGTGCCAAGTCGTGTCAATTTTACCTCCACAAAGTGTCTTCCAACTATCCCCATCTCTCCACTCACATGACCACTACCTTAGTTCAAGCCCTAATAATCTCTTACTTGGACCACTAAAACAGCTTCATAATTGGTATCCTATTCTCCTGTCTCCCCCCTTTCCAATCCATCCTGCACACAGCTGCCAAACTGATATCTGTAAAGTATAAGTCTGACTACATCACTCTCTTGTTTAAGATGTTCCAGTTGCTCCCCTAATGCTTGTAGCATAAAATAGAAATGCATTTTATTTGACATTTAAAGTCCTTCACAATCTAACCAAAACCTAATTACATACTACTCCCCCTTACCTACTCTATGTGCCAGATGAAACTGTTAATTTGCTGTTCCTTCAACGAATTCAACTATCTTTCAGAACATGTAACTTAGACAGACATTACAAATAGATAGTGAGTTGAGCCCAGAATCAGACTGAAAAAGAAGAATGGGCTGGATTGCTTCCCAAAACTTCCAAGTTCTTTTAATGACCACAAACTTCTTTCAAAAACAAAAGTCTATCTTTTTAACACCAATATTCTACGAGTGTTGTTGTATGACTATAAGACTCCAAAGAATTAAAAAGGACTATTACTCAGATGGTTACAGAACGATTTTTGGTGACTGTCAGCAGGCTGCAACACATAACAAAGAAGCTTCATGAGATCTAAAGGATGTCATCAGGAAAATGTGTGATCAAAAAAAAAAAAAAAGGACTGACCCATGTGGCGATGGATAACTGGCAAATGGCCCATTTGCTTCATTCTCTGCAATGTCAGGGGAAAGCAAGAAAAGTCCTAGCACCCCGGACTTCTGAAGCAAACTTATGATAAAACACGGACAAGAACTGTATTGGTGTCACCCCTTCAATGAATTCTTCCTTGCAACAAAGAAAAGCACTTCAGCAAAATCAACTTCCACTCCGAGTGTTTCCTGCGTCTTTATAGAGGAAAATGAAGTGTTTTTCATCACATGTTCCCTAGGGGTATTTACTCTGAGTTCAGCTAGCTTTAAGTATTGTTTTGGCTAACATCATTTTAATAACCATGTATATTGTACTCTTACTTCTGCTTATTTCATACTGCATCGGATCATACAAGTCTTCTCATTTCTCTGAAGTCCTCATAACCACAACTTCTTATGGCACTACTACAATTTGTTCAAGCATTCCACAATTTATGGGCACCTGCTTTATTTCCGAGTTTGTTAGTTTTGCCATTGCAGAACTGCTGTTACAAATATTTTGGAATAAATATTCTGTCTTTGACTTTGGGATATAACCCAGTAGTGAGTGGAGAGATTGGATCAAAAGCTACAAAGACTTCAGTGACATCACATAACTTCAAACTATTTTCCAGAATGAATGGATCAAACCACAGCTCCACAAACAGTATATAAATTGTCTATCTTCCCACACAGCTTAATGTCACCATTTTTGTCTTAGCACTTTTGCCTATTTGCTCGCCTTGAGGTGAAACTTCAGAGTTTTTTTTTTAATTTGTAACTCTCAAACTTAATAATATAGAGTAATATTCATGCAATTGATACAAATGTATAAAAATAAAGGCTAGTCTCCAAAAGATAAGTGGTCAAAGGATAAGAAAGCTCATTCTCAAAAGGAGAAACTGCAAGTTATCAACAACTATATAAAAATGCTCCAAATCATCAGTAAATAAAGAAACACAAATTAAAACAGCTCTGAGGTTCTACCAAAAATTAGATTGGCAAGAATGAGGAAAAGAGAAAAATGACAATTGAGAAGGATTTATGAAAAGATGGACACAATATGCACTGCTGGTGAAGCTATTGATTGGTCCAACCATTCTCGAAGACAGTTTGCAACCTGTACTCCAAAAGTTACCAAACTGTTCATATCATTTAACTTGATACCACTATTGGGCATATAACACAGAGGTCTGAATGTCTCTTCTTGAATTCATTAACTGGTTGGGAAAGTATAGTTCATACACAACCTTAATAAATGTTTACCACCATCAAAAGCAGCTAATAGAAATCAATGCTTATTAGTTACTTACAATTGTGTAATCATTTGAATATGAAGGAACTAAGTTAAGATTAACACATTTGAAGCATCACAAGAAAGAATCTATTTTGGTGATTTAGAATATTAAACTGCTGAACCAATTTTGTAGATTGGTTTTTAAGATATACATCTTAGTTTAAAATATATCTTCATACTATTTTAAATATCGAAATTCTATATAGGAATGTTAAACAAATATCAATCGAGTAAAAATTTGCTCAAGAAGTCTTTCTCAAGTTGTAGGAAAAAATGCTAAAGGTCTATACTGTATGATCCCATTTCTCAGAAGACTGAAAAGAGGCAAAGAAAAGAAGTTAACTAAGATAGTTACTTCCAATAATAAGATATTTATTTCTCTGCCTTTCTTGATAACAATGAACTGACTCTGTCAGGTGGGGAGGGAGAATGAAGAGAGCACAATCAAATTCCAAGCAACACCTCTTTACATTAGGCTACAAATATTTCAATACGATTGGAGGGCCAAGAAGTAGGTCCTAGGAAGGGCAGTATAGAATTTAGTACTGAGAAGAACTTTAGAGATCACTGAGCCCAAGCCCCTCATTTACTACTTGTGTGATGCTGGGCAGGTCATTTGACCACTCTGGGCTTGAGTTTCCAAATCTGTAAAGTGAAATGCTCTTCCTGGTGACCTCCATGATCACCTCCAGCTCTAAAGATTATGACCCCATGATGAAATAAAGAAATTGTAGCTCACTGAACTCCAAACTCTACAATATTATCCTCCTAAAGGCAGTTGGTGATGCAATGGAGAGAGAGCTCAGCCTGGAGTCAGGGAGACCTGAGTTCAAATCTAGTCTCAGATATCAACTAGCTGTTTGACTCTGGGCAAATTTTTAGCTTCTGTCTGCCCCGACTTCCTTAACTGTAAAATGAGGATTGTAATAGCACCTCCCTCTCAAGGGCTGTTATGAGATCATATTTGTAAAGTGCTCAGCACAATGCTTAGCACATAGTAAATACATAATAAATGCTTGTTTCTTTCCTTCTTTCCTAAAAAACTTGAAAGCAGCACCATTTATACTGCTTAAGTGATAAGCCCCACTTAAACTGGGGCTCAGGAAGAGGCTGAGGAAAATTAACTACAATGCCTTACTTAACACTGTCATAAGTAAAATATTACTTACCCCTACTGCATGTTACTTAAAGCACTGTTTATAAAAGTATATTCAATCCTGGCTTTAACGCCACCAGTCTACACCACAAGTTAAAATGTGATATAAAAGTCAGAAACAACATAAAAATATAAAAACAATTTAAAAATTAAATAATTACCTCTCCTATGTAAACTACTATAATACAGTCCAACATCTCTTCAGGAGATAACTTATCAATAAGGGAATGAAGAGTTTCTACAAGGTAAGACTTTACTTTTCTCTTCACTGTGGGAATTCCCATTACTATTGAAACTGAAAAATAAAAATAATAAACAAAAAACAATAATTTAGTAATTAGTGTATAACTCACAAGGGCAAATTAGAAAAATATTATTTTTAATAGGTCCATTTCATAAAAGTTATTCTCTCAATTTTGTGTAGCTGTATCATGTAAAATATAAATGAAATAAATAATGGATCAAAGTAACAATAAGTGTCAGAGAACAAATATTTAAAGATTGTATTACATCCCACTTAACATAATTATTTTAAATATTACTTGAATATAAAACCAAAAATAATTATATTACTCAACAAGTAATAAAATCTTATTCAATGTATTAGAAATAATACTCAAATTACAGTAACACATAAGCATTATGTAGTATAACAAAGTCTCAGGATGCAAGACCATAAGCTACCAGGTTGTTAAGAAATGGATTTACATAATTTAAATAACTAAATAAATATTAGTTAACACTATTAGTTTTTACTTTTGTATTCCCACCATCTAGAATCATAAGGCATATAATATGAACTTGTTAAATGTATGCTAAATTGAATACAATTACAAAAGAAAAAAACCTCACATTTTAAATTATTATTTTGAATGACTTTTTGCTACTATCATTCATACACAAGAAAATATGTAACAACACTTGACAAATGGAATTCCACAGTATTTGTAAAAACACTTTCCTCAATTACATATGATAGCTTACTACTGAAGCTATAAAAACTTAGTCAAATTAGCTATCCAATTTTTGAAAAAACAAATAGCTGTTACAGAAAGAACAATTTTAGGCTGTGCTTAATGTCACAGCTAACTCAGAATAATTTCCAGGAGATAGTTACCTTGAAAAACATTTTAGAAACAACTATTTAAAACAAAACATAAAATCTTCGCTAATTAATAAATTACTTAATCTCTAAAGCTGACCAAAGGTAGAAAACTGCTGCAGTTAAAAAATTTCAGAGGTAAATTTAATATAACTTAGTTCATGCTCTCTAATACTAATTTTAGATTAGTGAAAAAACACATATAAAGAAAAAAAAGGAGAGCTTGCCATAAAGAGTACAATTTTTTCTATTCCTTCCACACCCAACCTATTTCATCCCAACATAAGAACAAAGTTTTAAGAGCAGGAATACTTAGAAGTGAAAGAAATTTTAGAGTTTATCTAATCTATCCCACACATAAAAGCATAAATTCTCTCAAGAGTATCTTTAATGAGACCATTTATCTGCCTAAACACCTTGAGTAACAGAAATTACAGGAGGGAGGCAAGACTCACTACCTTAAATGCCAGACAAGTCCTTTTTGGACAGATCTAAAGAGTGAGGAAGTTCTTTGTTTGTTTGTTTTTAACGATGATCAAAATTGATCTTCCTATAACTCGTATCCACTCTCCAGGGCCAAGTGGACACTGACAGCCCTTTAAAATATTGAATGTCAGTAATTAATGTTCCTCTAATCCATTTTCTCTTCTCCAGAGTACACAGCCTCCAAACATTTTTCAATTCATTTTCATATGGCATAATTCATCAAACCTAGTAGCAGTTTATGGTTTAAAGTCCCTTCACCATCCTTTTTATCCTCTTCTGGAGGTGCTCTAGTTTGGAAATGTCAATTCTATGATAATATCCAGAACCAACCAAACACAATATTCTAGGGTACAGTGAGCCTATCACCTCCCTTACTCTAGCATTATACTTCTTTTACTGTAGCCACAAATTCTATTAGCTTACCTGATTTCCACCTTACACCACTGATTCATATCAAGCTTGCAGCCCAATAAAACTCCCAGGGCTATTAAACAACTATTGTCTACTTATGCATTCCCCATTTCTTTGTACATTTTTTTAACTCAAGTGGAAAACAGCATATTTATGTTTATCAAGTCTCCTCTTATCTGATTCAGGTCCATACTGTTGAGATATAATTAGATTCTATAACCATTGATGTAAGGGATATAAAGAAACATAAACAATCCCTTCACTTAAGAAATTTACATTCCAAAGAAAAGCAAAATACACACAAAGTATATTCAAAGTAATTTGGGGAATGTGATGGAAAAAACACTAAAAAGTGAGAGAATAAGGAAGAACCTCGGTTAGGAGGTAGTACTTAAGCTGAGCCTGGAAGGGAACCAGAAACTCCACAAAGCAGAAAATGCATTACAGCCATAGGTGACAGCTACTGTAACAACATGGTATCAGGAGATAGAATATCATGTATGGAGAACAGCAAATAGAATGGGTTAGATGAAATATAATGCAAGTGAGGAAAATAATGTGAAATCCATCCAGAAGATAAACTGAAGCCAATCTCTGAAAGAGTTTAAATACTGAAAGACAAATCTATATATTATTTTAAGAGGAAATAGAGTACTAATAAAGTTTCTTGAGGAGAACAATGAGGTCAGACCTACAGTTTAGGAATATCAAATCTGAAGATATATAGAGAATGGATATCAAGAGAGGGAATAACATGAAGCAAGTAAACTAATTAGGAATCTATTGCAAGAATCAAAATGAGTTATGAATGGTTATAAATGAATAGTTATACAAAAAATGTCAAGTACGTAGAATCCATTAAGACTAGGTATGGGAGATGGCTGAGTGAAAGTGAAGAATCAAAGACAGAAATAAGGCAATGTAGGGGAAAATATATAGAGTTGTATTTTCAACACACTGAATTTGAGAAATGTTCAATAGTCAATTGGTGATGTAACACCCGGGAGAAAAGGACCAGATAGGTAATTTTAGAATTATTCTTCGTAGAAATGATTATTAAGCCCATGAGAACTGATATAATCAAGAAAGAGAATTTAAAAGCAAAGAGGCCCAAGTCAATGCTTCTATGTATAACCACATATAAGGAGTGGATCATGGATAATAATTTAACAAAGGACAATGGGAAGAAGCAGTTAGATATGCAGAAGGACAACTGAGAGAGAACAGTGTCGCAAAAACTACTAAAAGGCCATTGGATTTAGCAGTTATAAGATCACTGGTAACCTTAGAGAAGGAAGTTTCAATTGAATATTGGGGTGCAGACAAGTTTGCAAAGCATGAAGACGTGAACACGAGGCAAGGAGATGGAGGCAACTGGTAATTCTTGTTAGGAGTTTAGTTGAGAGAATATGAGTGTGTGAATGAGATATATAAAGATAGCTTGAGTAGGAATCAAATGAACGTTTTTAAAAGATAGGAGAGACCAACATATATGTAAAAAGAGAGGAGGAGTGGATAAGAAGAGAGTGAAGATAAGAAAGTTCATTGACTTAAAACTGTAAGAGACCTTTGAAGCCACTGCAGTCAAAACAAAAAATGAAGACTATTTAGATGAGGGGAACTAAGGCCCAGTCCGATCAGGTGATTTGTCTAAGGCAGGGGTGGGGAACCCTTTAGCTCCTCAAGTACTTAGTCCTTTGACTGAATCCAAACTTCACAGAACAAATCCCCTTAATAAAAGGATTTGTTCTGGAAAACTTGGACTCAGTCAAAAGGCCACACCCAAGGACCTAGAAGGCCACATGTGGCCTTGAGGCCTCAAGTTCCCCACCCCTGGCAAAAGTAACACAGGCAGTAAATGGTAGAGTCAGAACCTGAACCCAGGTCCTCAGATTCTACTGCACTGTTATGCATCAGTGAGAGTCTCAGAACAATGGAGAACTACCAATGGAAGGAATTTCTAAACTCTTTAGGCTCTTGGCAAATCGTCTCAAATCTTCATGTTTTCCTAGACAGCATGTCCCAATTGAAGTACCTTCTTGCTCTCTCAGGGAGATAGTTGTGCACATCTCTGAGATTTTAAAAAACATTCTCTTTCTTTAGTGACAAAGAACATCAAAACCCTCCAAACAAGAAGTTGTGGCTGTAAGATCCCATTCTGTGCCAGGTACAGGATCAGGAACAATCCTCCAACCTCAATCTGAATCCTAATTCGGCAAATTCAATCACTCAAATTTCTTATCAGATGACTCCCCATCTGTATTTTCAGCCCTAACCACTCAACTGCCTCTACAGAACATTTCAATATGCATTTCCCATTGGCACTTCACTTTCAAAATATCCAAGATAGATATTATCTCCCCCATAAACTTTTACCGCACTTCAGGATTTCTATTAGGGCATACATTCACCCAGTCTCCTGTGATCAAAACTTAAACGTTATCTGTTTTCCTCTCCTTCATCTCACATAAAATCAATAATGAAGTACTTGCTGATTCTACCTCCACAATATCTCTAGCCATCTGTCCTCTACATCCTAATCTCACTATCACTACTCTAGTACTTACTATCCACTTTCTGGAATAGTTTTTTATCTTCCCACATAGTGAATCTCTAATCTTTCAAAGTCATGTTTCATATTAGTGCCAAAGTCCTTCCAAAAAACTTTAATGGGTTTCCAATGCCTACTGAGTAAAGTTCAAACTCCTTAGTGTGGCATTCAAGGACCACTACAATCTGACACTACCCTAACCCCAATATTTTCTCATATTCCTCTCTTCACTCCAATTCTCCAGCAGAAATGGACTAAGTGTTCCTTTAATAACAGACATTGTTCTTTCTTACCTTTTTGTTCATATGCCTTCTTATGGCTAAAGCATCCTCTTTCCTACTTTTTCCCCACTCTTAACTTGCTAAACTAAATTCCTACTAATCCTTTAATGACCAATTGAAATGTTACTTCTTTTAGGAAGCCTTTCTTAATGATACCATCAGTAACAATTTTTGCCATAAGATGTATAATAATATGCAATAGCCTTTTCCAGGTCTAGTCTTTCTCAGCCTAACAAACTTGTATACCCACAAAATATTTCTTTCCCCCACTAGCCTCTACCCTCTCCTTTTTGTCCCACTCTTTCTTTGAAATCTTCTATTAGGAAAATATTATTGCATACTAAAATTTGCCACCTTCTTTATCTTATTCACTTCTTAACCCTGAAGTCAGAAGTAGGACACTCTTCAGACCCATCTAACATTCCCACAAAATACCTGAGTGGCCCTGATCATTAACACAAAGG